GCCTGATGTATTTAAAAAGAAACTTCATGAATGTTGATATCTACATCGCTGGAAAATTTCAAAAATTAAACTGGCATGCATGAGTATATGTTAGGCAGATATGCCCCGACAACATGCGTTAATCATACGTGATCGAAGAAAAGATGTTTGCATATAGCAAACATATTTAGAAACCCCCTTGATTAGGTATAGCTGGGGATCTCTATAAGTTTAATGTTATATCAAATTCATCGTTTCCTCGCCATTCCAATGTAGGCAAGGGACTTTCGGGGGCCACAGTCAATAAATATAGTTGGATTAAAATTAACTTATTTTAGAAACGGACATGTAGAAGCTTGGCAACAACCTTCACAAGTTCAGCTGGGTTTTCGTTTAAGCGTGTTGCAGTAGTGAAAGGCTTAAAGAAAGTATTCGATAATCGAGTCGAAAATATTCTGCCAAAACCACAATTTGCTGGGAATTCGCTTGAAACTCAAAATCCACTATTCGCACATGTTGAATGTAACAAAAGTTATCGTCATTCAATCCAGGGCCCGTTTGCTCAAAGCACTAACCGCGGCTAAAGTTAGCCGCAGTACCTAGGAGAGGGATTTTGAGATCACGTGACTGGCTCGGTAGGGATGCGGGGAAACATGGCGGTGCCGCAGTGAGTGAGCGCCGCTCGCTTTGGAACTAATATGTCGTTGTAGCTGCAATATCGGGCGCGTTAGTCAGCAACGAATAGTGCAGGAGGCTTTCGCTTTGCCTTCCCTCACTTAAACCGCAAAGCATGGGCAATGACATCGCCGCCTTTTTAGATAGTGTTTCGATTCTGGGCACTCCTAAGCCTAAATGAACGCGATAATTGTCGGCATAGTAACATCTTTGGAAAGCGGATTGTTGATAGCACACAAAAGCAGACGGCGTCCCAACATACCTTTTTTCTAAATTATCTAAGCACCGAGGTGGATGCTACGACTGTAGTTGCACGCGTCGCACGTGCTGGCGTCTGCAGTAGTAACCGTTCTAAAGCAAAAAGTATAAAACAAATTTTGCCTTGCACGCGCGTTCGTTAAAGCATTATTATGATTTTTTACTTCAAATCTTTTATAAGAGGAAGGCCAGCGCGCGTGAACCGTAGCATTACACTTCCAGCGTTCTCCTCGCGATGCTTGGATAATTTAGAAAAAAAGGCTGTCGGGACGCTGTCTGCTTTTGTGTGCTATCAACAATCCACTTTCCAAAGACGTTGCCATGCCGACAATTATCGCGTTCATTTAGGCTTAGGAATGGCCAGAATCGAAAGACAGTCTAGAGAAATGCGGCGAGGTCATTGCTCATGCTTTGCGAGCAGTGAGGTAAGACAAAGCGAAGGCCTCCTGTACCATTCGTTGCTGACTAACGCGCCCGATATTGCAGCTACAACGACATATTAGTTCCAAAGCGAGCGGCGCTCACTCACTGGGGCACCGCCATGTTTCCCCGCATCCCTACCGAGCCAGTCACGTGATCTCAAAATCCTAGGTACTGCGGCTAACTCCTAGGTACTGCGGCTAACTTTAGCCGCGGTTAGCGCTTCGAGCAAACGGGCCCTGATCAAGTATCATCAAAAAGGGAGAGGTTCTAAATTTTTTTATAGAAATAAATAAAAACAAAAAACACGTTTCATTAACATTTGGATTTTTTTACTGTAGTAAGAAAAGTGAACAAGTTTACTTGCTGCGGAGAAATTATCTGAGTCTGGCGAATCTTCCAAATGCGCGACATGTAACGATCGCCCCAATCCCCCAAAAAATCCGTGTTTGGTCCTTTAGAAGACCAAAACTCAAAAATAAAAATATAACAATATATATATATATTTTGTTATATTTATTTATGTTATATATATATATGTTATATATAAACACCCTGTATATATAAAGATATACACGGTGTTTCTTTTTAACTGCAACAGATTTGATTTAAAAAAGTCGTGAAAGCTACACTTATGCGGTTTATGCTGGCGAGTCATACGGCCAGAAGGGCATTGTATAGTTGGATAATCGTAACGATCAGTCGGCTAATTAATTAAAATTTGTTAATTAACTTTTTTAGTTAGGGAAAATAGACATATGGTTCCCATTACAAACTTGATGAGCGTAATTGAAAACCACTAAATTAACTTCTTTTAGAAGAATATAAAGCAGGGGCAGCATTTTACGGCGTTCCGTAAAAACGCTTCATTTGAACGCGTTTCTAGGTTTCGATCTCTGATCGAAGCGTATCTCTGCGCCCGCGGTCCTGCTCCTCAGTGGCTGAGGCGCGCATCACACGTGCGCCATGCTTCCCTCCATCCTGTGAGGGAGTCGAGGGGGTGGCTTCGCGCCGCGACCACCGGGGGGCAGGACCGCGGGCGCAAAGATACGCTCCGATGAGAAACCGAAACCTAGAAAGGCGTCCAAATGAAGCGGGGGCAGTATCCTCCTAAAAATAGATGATTAAGTGGTTTTCGTTTACGCTTAGAAAGTTTCTAATTGGAAACATATCTCTATTTTCATTTCTCAGTGCACCCACTCAGTGCAACAAAGGATGTCTTTACCCTGAAACAGAGACATGTTCACCCCAGTTCAAACGTGAATTCTTCCTTTCCCTTTTTTCAATCTTTTCGAGGGCCTGGCCAGTAGGTGTGGCGACGAACGCGCTGGAGAGGAGAAAAGAGAAGGAAAGTTGGAGAGCTCCGAAGGAGCGAGACAGGAAGGAGGGAGCAAAGAGGAAACGACCGCCATTTTGACGTAACACGCTTTCGGCGCAGAGCACTGTTGAGGCTGTACGCGTCGTCTTCTATGGGCCGACTTCTTTTTCGCCTGATTATAAGTTTACGGTAAAACATCGAGAAAACTTCACTCGTTAGCTTTTTAACCCACTGTGGAATAACACTATATTATTTTCTTGTCAGAGCTAGCAAAATAAAAGGAAAGAAGCGAAATTTGGATGTCCATACCATGCATTCTACCGGGTGAAGGAATGAAAATGGCGGCCCTCCCCGCACAGCTATGAGCAGCCGAGAGTTCAAGCGCATGCGCTCGGACCTCTGACTGCACCGCGGGCTGACTGGCTCAATCGGGAGGGGGGCGTTACGGCGGCGAGGTCATATATATATAAACTGGCCAAACTCTCCCCATAAACGGCTCTGCCTTTTTCTAAAGACCCTCGGGCCTCGATGTGTTCGCGTTTGTCTTGCAAGTAGCGTCAAATGCGCCAGTGCACGAGACCCGTGTCTCGAGCGGCCATTGGAACCAAATGGCGACGCAGCACTGAAATGAGCAGCCCTTGGAAGCGAATGGCGGCGGAACACCCGCTCGTGGCCCATGTCTCGCGCGCTTCCACCTCAATGGTTGGCGGTATTTGTAAAAAAAAAAAAAAAAAACTCCTTTATCAAGGGTTTTCACCTTTTTTCGGGTAACAAACGCCGTCTGGGAAGTCGTCTGCGAACTACAAACTTGCCGCTTACTAAAGGCCCACAGCTCTCCTGGCCTCCCCCTTTCCTTCACCTCCAAATAAACCCAAATAATCAGCCCGTCAGAACGCATTGACATCGTGCTGTTGTATCGATTTCTATAGCTTTTAGAGCGCAGCTCTTCGGCACCCGTTTCCGGCTTGAGCGGCGTTGGCGTCGGCGTAACCGCGCGGTACATTATGGGACGCGTAACGTCACCGATGACGTCATCAGTCACGTCACTGATGATGTCATTGGCATCGTCATCATCGCTGATGACGTCATCAGTGACGTCGTCATTGGCACTCGCATCGTCACTGATGACGTCATCAGTGATGATGACGTCACTGGAGACGTTACTGATGACGACATCGTCACGTGTCCTCTAGAAGTCACGTGACCCCGGTGGCGTACATGACCCCCGTGAGGTCACGTGACCCTCGTGAGGCGACGGCGACGCCGCTCGGAGGGAGGAGTAGCAGACAGGATGAGGACGTGAGGAGGGAGGGAGGAGGGGTATACCTTCCCGTCAGTACCTTCCCTCCTCCTCCTCAAGTGCCTGCAGTACGCATTTCCCCATGGGGTAATCGGGGGTGCATTAGTTATTTTCGGAAATGGCGGCGATAAAGTCAAGAGGCTTCAGGGTTATCATAGCATCATTTTTTCTGATACAAATTTAACAATATCACATTTGGGAAATGTACTTTGAAGTCGAGAGTTGTACTTTTCTCGGAAAGTACCAGAAAAAAATACTTTAAGTAAGGTACAAGTACATACTCAGAGAATGTGTTTCAAGTAAAACATAAGTATTCCTAACCTCCTTGAAGCAAAAATTTAAATACAATTTACTTAGAGTACTTCCTAACACTCTTGAACTCTGACATCATCTCCGCACATTTCTGCATGTCGCCTGAAGTTGTGTGTGTGTGTGTGGGGGGGGGGGGGGGGGGGAGGATTCAAGAAAGGCCCACGAGAGACTGCCAATCTCATTGAACTCGTTGCATCATCGCTGAGGCACGAAGCACAGGTCTGGTAAAAGTAAAACTTATTCACAATTTCTTCTACCGCTCCTCTTCTAACTTCTTGTTCCTCGAGTATTGTTACTCTGGAGCGAACACTTAATGGGTCGGTCATAGATTTTGGTCTGCAGCTGGCTCAGGGCTTTGTGGACTTTGACGGCAGTGTTCGAATCTCCTTCAATCTGCAGCACGGCATCTTGAAACATGGCACGATGGTAACGGAGTGTCAAAATACATAATTCCTTGTATTTATTGTTACACGAATAAATAAAACGCAGCAGGCGCAGTCAGCTGCCGCGATCACGAACAGAACCACGCCCAATCGGTGTAACAGGTGATCGAAACATCTTTATTGCATAAACATGAATGCACAAGTGTGTAAAATGGCAGCGCGGACGATTGTGCAGAGTATATCGCTGGCATCGCTATTATCCTGCGACTCGCCGTTGTCACCATATTGCTCTCTTTGGCGGCCACGAGAACCGCGGGTCCTTGTCCGAACGCGCATCAGACGCTGGCACGTTGCGTCACGAGCAGAGCTGATGAGCCCGTCCAGAAACCAGGTCGACCAGGACCGTCTGCACCAGAACCGCCAGGGAGAGAACTCCACCCACGACGATCATGACTACGGCCAGGAAGCAGAGCCAGTGCGGGTGAGAGACGACGACGGTCTTCTGGAGCAGGCCCAGAAGACAGAGACCTAAGTAGGAAACGGTCGCAATACTCTGGGTGAGGAACGCATGCGGACCTCACCTCAAACTTACCGAAGGCATTGTTTGGGGGCAGAGAAAGGGGACCATGTGTAGACTATGGAAGCCATTTCTCGTCCTCGCGGTTCCGTGACATCGGTTGAGTGACTATAGTCTCCGAAAGGATGAGAACGACAGGGACGTCTTTCAGTTGTCCCGCCTTCAGCGTGAGCTTCACCTTCGATGACACTCCGGCGCCTCCGAGCGTCCGAGCGTGCAAGCGCAGCCAAAGCCCGGCGGAAGGCAAAGAGCGCGCGCTGGAGGCATCCAAATAGACGTCCAGCCGTTCTTATCTTGTCAGCGACTATTGGGAGTATTCACCGGCGGCCACATCTGCGTGCGCGGCTGCTGAGCGCGTGCTGACGGCGAGCTTCGGCGGTTCTTTTGCAACGCGCATTCCACACCGTCAGGATTGCTGGCCTTAGCAGACTATTAATGTGAGCTCGTTCTGAGAATTCGCTCTAAACATCGCCCTCAAATATGGCGTCCAATGAATACCCGTAGAGCTGAGCTTTCTGGGCCCCCCAATGTTCTAACATGCAGTAGGCTACATCGTTTCGCACCTTTACATGTTCGAACTGAGCCCTCGAATGTACAGTGCGCGAACAGTTCGCCTGATCATTCGATGCCCGGTTGCTCGTACTCCCTGGGAAATTGGAATTGTCTTAATGCGCCGGAATGTGCGTAATTAAAGTTGAATTAAGACTTTGGTTTGAGCTAGTTGGTTCATGATGATTTAAAAGGTTAAAACCGCAAAACAATAAGGACGAAGGAGAAAACACACACAGCACAGGCGCTAACTTTCAACTGATACTTTATCCCAGTCAGTCAAACCAGCGCACATGCGCGAACAAAGTTGCTACTCATGCCTCCACTTAAGATTAAAAAACTACAAATTACACAATTCTACACACGTGTCCAAATCCCAAGTCATGCAATCTAGACGAAACCGTCTAGAAAAAGAAACCTCTCAGTTTGGACAATTGATGGCGTGCTGACGCAGTTGTCACCCGATGATCTGATAAATCACAAATGCCTGGCCCTCAATTATCTCTTTCTGCCTTGTTACGGGCTCTTTTAATAAACTCTTAGTTCTAAAAGGGGTTCACACCCGCTACTCATGCAGTGAACAGCAAGTGAACCGCAAGACTTATTACGGACCGCAAGTCGAGGCTCACGCGCTTTTTCAATTTAAAACATCGCCCCGTCTGTCTTACGTAAACGCGCCCGCACGCCAGCAGTATCTCGTAAACATAAAATGTGCAGCTTGTAAATTGTGTGACGTGCTTCTTAGAGCACTCAACATGCTTCTCCCTTGTCATCATAGACCAAACACTTTTGCCAGCTTGCACGGCGCAGAAAAAACAACTTCGTATTTTACAACCATCTTCTTTAGATTGTGTGACACCCTGTGCAAATCAGGAATCACTTGAATCTTTGATTTCTTAACTTTTGTTTTGTTGAACAACATCTGTGCTGGTGTTACGCTATTGTTTAAAGGAGCTGTGCAACGATATTCAATTGGAATGTTTTTCTCTCTACACTAGCTTACTGGCACACCTCGGACTCAAGGATACTCACACGCAACACCATTGGCCAAGAAACTCCTTTGTTGTGGTGTAATTTCAAGGACAAAAGCGATCATTTTCATTCAATCTCTCCTTTGCAAAATTTGATGACGTAACTCGGGGATCGCAGTACACCCAAGTGACGATATTTGAATGCGGTTCACAGATTGGACCCGAGCGTTGCGTGGGCACTCGACTTGGGCTCGTGACAATTGCTAGCTCGAGAAGCATTCGGGTTGTGACCCGTGTCCAATCGCTGCAACGACGACAACAGCCGAGCCATAACAATGTCTGGAACTCAGCGCGTGTCCTGCGCTTTGCCAACCCCTGCGCGTGGCTATGATCAACACTGGCGGCATATAATCGGCTCCAGATCACGTGGCCGCTTGTTCTGGCTGCGAGTTGAGGGGGTGAACGCCGCTCGTTTTTCTTAAATTTTTTTCTGGGACTTCTATTGCGTGGGGTGAAAAACGAACGCGTGTTTCATAGGTCATTAACGTTAGGGATCCGATTTAAGCGGTATTTGTGCACAGTACAAAAATTGTTGCATCGCTCCTTTAAGCGCTCTATCTGATGATTAAAACTGGTCGCTACTTCGTGATGGCAACTTTTTGACAAGGCAGCCTGAAGGCAGGAAGATGTTATGCCTCTTTCTTTTTAAATGTTTAATTATATTGTTTGATGTGAGCATTATAAGGCATAAATTGAGAAGACCGCTCTCACCAGGGAACAAGAATATGTTCAGCGCGGCAAGGCAGCCGAGGATCTTGACGGCCACGCCGATGTCGACGGGCAACACCGCCAAACAGACACTACTGGCGAACCAGCCGAAGGACAGGAAGAACCGGCGCCTCCTCTTGCCCTCCGCTGCGACATTGGTTGGCCAGCGGCTCCAGTCCCTGTACAGGCCCTCCAGCGTGTCTCTGCGTCGATGGGTCATCCCTGAACGCATCCACACCACTCGTATGCACCGGCTCTTACCGTCCGCAGATGGCAGGCAGCGGATAGGTGACAATCATCTTGATGATAAGCGCCACCACGCCGAATTGTACCCAGGTTTGGGTCGCGTCAAACATTTCCATGATGTCAGGCCGCACAGCAGCACCGTACGCCAGGTAGCCAAAAGTGCCCACCACGCAATACGCCACCAGTAGCAGGAGCATGCTGCAGGCTATTGCTTTGGCCAAGGGTGTTAAGGCACGGTCTCGCATGGCCGCATACACCGGGATGGCCACCTCATGCGTCTGCGCAGTGTCAAGAACAAAGCGGCTGCAATAAAGTCTTATTTTGGGGCGTTTCGCAGTTCACTTTATTTTATTGATGAAGTGCTGCACGGCGTCAAATGCACGAAGAGACCTCAGAGCTAAGTATCGGACCACAATCTGGGTCCTGGGCACATGAAACTCGAAACGCAGTCGGTGGAAGGACGAATTCTTCCAATAAGCCGATCACACCTTCACAGAAGTATCGTACGTGATCACTCTGAACAAAAAGTAAGGGCGCAAACGAGCTGGTATACATTGCACATGGTTGAAAAAAACCCGAGACTGCGGGTAAACGACACAACACTAAAAATATACTTTTTAGTGTTGTGTCGTTTACCCGCAGTCTCGGTTTTTTTTCAACCATGTGATCACTCTGACGCTGTAGCAGACGCACATGAACTAAAGTTTCATTAAACAAAAGTAAAGATGCTTGAAATCCAAATCAGTCACGTTACCACTGTATCCGGAGAATGGAGGGCCCCCCAGGCAAAGCTAACGTTCGGCGGAAGCTGACTGCTTTCTGGGTAATCAAGCTTCGACGGTCTTTACATTTTATATCTTAATTTGTAGAAAAACAACCTACCCTCTCCGCGAGGAAAACGTGTGTGTGCACACGACTTGAAGAGAGTGGACGAAAGTGAAACGGGCTGAGCAGGAACCGTACCCTCTTCCAGAGTTATCGTCTCCGGACAGGTATATGCATAAAGCGCGAAACACATGTACGACGAAACCGCCCGATCCGTTGTCCGACCAGGCAATACGACGGTCGGAGGCAAGGGTTTTCAACGCTCTCCGATGCTACGAAAACCCTCGCCCCCCAAGGTCATTCCGGCAGTCCGCACGTCGGATCGGAAGGTTTCGTCGTACATGTGTTTCGCGCTTAACAGTTTTTTATGTTAATAGTATACGGTCAAAGGAACTGCACCTACAGGTTCAGCAAATAAAAATACAAGCAAGGTGACGGGCGGCTTTCGGTGAGGGTGACGGCCTTCATGCTGTCCAAAAGTCTAATTTGGGGGTTTTACGTGCCACACCAAGGACGGGCATCTGGCCCGCCTCAGCGGAGGACAGAGGATTAATTTCGACCAGCTGGGGATCTTTTGACGTGCAACCGAAAGCTCGGTTACACGGCGCCTTCTCCCCAATAAGCCTCCGTTAGATTGCGGGCAGCTCGGTAGGGATTCGAACCCGCTACCTGGGGATCCGTAGGCCAGCGCTTTCCTTTGGAGCCACCGATATAGAAGTCCAATTGAATGACCACATACCTGATAAGCGAAGCAGAATACTGGAACGGTGACTAGAAGATCCATGAAGCTGGTGGGACTGATAAGAAATTTGAGTTATTGCACACTATGCGAAGCAGTAGGGAGGCAGTTGCTAAGCTTACGCAGTTTTTATCACAACGTCGCGGACGTCCGTGGTGTAGTACACGAACACAGTCAAGAAACACGGGTATAGGACGGCCACGATTCCCAGTGAACTGAACGTGAAGAGAATGCAAGAAATCAATTTGGCTGCAGGGATGTAATCCTGCTAACCAAAACCAGCAGACATACCTGGCGTACTGAAGGTAGTTGATTCGGCGGAGAAAACAAAGCGGCATGACGAAAATGAACGCCATAATGGAAATGGTGAATTGGCGACTCATGTACCATTTGTGGCAAAAGTCTTGTCCGTAGAACGATGCAAATACTGCAACGAAGAAGACACTCGGTCAGCTGGTTTACCTTCATACGTCAACATAACGAACCATATGGCATCGCATTCAAAGGCCAGCAAGACTTACGGCGGTCGAACTGATCCCCGAGGACCAAGAGGTAGGTAACGCAGACGCCATAGCAAGTGAGCAGAACGGACACAGCGACCAGGAAGCGCCATCTTGGCCCGCACATTGACAGCACGATGCCGTGGTACGTGCGGTCCTTGTTGACGTCGGAACAGTACGCCAGGACTACAACAGTCACACCGAGGGCAAAAACCATGAGCTGGAAGGCAAGCAATAACCAACAGGTTCGTAGGCCGATTTCCTCCAAAGCACACTAACCATTTGCAGGAGAGTAGCCACCAGGATGCCGCCGGCATGATCATAGGCTGCGGGGAAATTGAGCACACCGGCCCCGAGCGCGGTGGTTGCCAGCACGACGGCCACAGAGTACCAGGACAAGGTGCCGGTCTCGGCGGAGCTTGGCGTGGAATCTGCGAAGACGCGCAGGAAAAGCAGCTTGAGAGTCGCACTGTTTGATGATAGCACACGCTGTCATCAATTCCCAAATCTTTGGGAATTGTCGCACTGTCTGTTACGAGTCACGCTTCCGAGATAAGTCTAGAGAAGCGCTGTTAGGAGTAGCAACCACGCTGAGGAATACTTGCTCAAACATTTGCTCGAGAATAAACACGCGGTGTACGAAAAAAGGTATTTAAACCAGTTGGGATACACGGACAGCTTGCGTTGCGCATGTTTTCGCTTCGAGACCACCATGATTACCTTTGGTAGGGTCGCGTACGACCGCGCCATTGTCCTCGAGTTGAGACAACTTGTATTCGACCATGGTGCATGCCCTCCGCTAAAAAGTGATGAACAGATGGGGTGAAAACGTTGATGAACGGGCGCGAGATGTAATGCCCGGAAACTACCACTGGCAGTCTTCCCAAGTTTTCCAAGTTTTTTTGTTTTTTTTCTTTGTTGCCTTGATACTCGTGCCAGTGCTGCCGGGAACTCCTCGGCGTATCACCATTGGCTGTGCGCTGCATTGTGGCGCACGCGCAGTTGACTATCGTTTTTGAAATTGGGCCGCTGCGCGACTCGGTAACTGTTATTGCTGCGCCACTGTTCCTGCCGAAGCTAGCTGCAATTCCGTTATTATTATTATTATTATTATTATTATTATTATTATTATTATTATTATTATTTTACGCGACTTATTTGATGCTGGCAAACGGTGCTTGCTTGCATGGGCAGAGCTTCGGCGGCACGAGCTAGCGTGGCAGAATCAACCAACTGTCGTTTCCTTTCTTCGTCATTTGGCGTTTTTTTTTTTATTGTGTACTTCCGCGCCTTTTGCCGCTGCTTATTCATCATTTTCTGCGCTCCGCCAGTATTTACTTGACTTTCGAAAACGCGCCGTCAGAACAATGAAACAACGCATCCAGAACATAAACAAAAAGCTATATCAAATCTAATACAATATTTATAAAGAGAAGATCAGGCACGTCAAAATGCTTACGAAATAGTCGCTCGGTCACTGTTATCTTGTGTATACATCTTGGGAGAAATCGTGAAGAAATCACTGCACGAGGTAAGTCGAGATTGAACATTATAAACTTGTTCACAGGCTTCCTTGACCATTTAATGGGTGAACAGTGTCAGAGGTCTGAACGTGGTTTGTTTTCTCAAAATCTTTTGTGGCACCTCGTTTGTTCACTTGTGCAGCGGGATGTTTGGCATTCCAGATTATTATTTCTAGGGTTTACTTGCGTATTACGTATTGATGCGTTATGCAACGTCTGGTCCTACCGATAAGCAGTTTCTGCTTTCGTGGGCCAAATTTTTATATATAATAATTTCACGAAAACAAATACGACCGAATTACAGGACACCCAGTACGGTCGTGCAGAATACGCTGGGAATCTCGGTAGTGCAGTTACAAGACTTCTACGCAGAACAAGTTAAGAATTTGTGGAGGCGCCGACAAAAATAACCTAGTCCATTTATAAAAGTTAGTACTGCATGCAATACATGGCGGCGGCCAGATGCCCTGCTTGAAATTGTCTATAGGAATTATTATCATATTTGAGTGCACTGCTCATCAGTGTCGCGGAGTTGCCCCTCCGGAGTAGAAAGGATTCCGGAAACATTCCGCACTTTCGCGACCCCGGAATAAAATGGGAACGGATTGACGGCAGCGCTGGGGGGAATGAAATGGGAAGGGAATTAGGGGCCTTTTGCCCTCAACGAAGTGGGAATGGGATAAGTTCGGTTCTTATACAAACTGTTGATTTTCATCTGGGGCCTACGGGCTGATTGCACTATTCGCTAGCGCATGGAAAGTTGCTCTTGAAACAGAATCATTGCACTAGGGGTGACTGACGGCTTAATTGTTTCACTGGCTTAAGGCTTGACCACACTAGCGGGAACGGCACCGCCAGTTGGCGCTGCTGGGCGGCACCGCCTAAAGCCCCTTGATAAAGTCGTTTTTTACAAGTACCGCCAACCATTGTTGTGGAAACGCGCGAGACACGTGCCACGAGCGGGCGCTCCGCCGCCATTCGCTTCCAAGGGCCGCTCATTTTAGTGCTGATCCGCCATTTGCTTCCAAGGGCCTCTCGAGACACGGGCCACGTGCGCTCGCGCATTTGACGCTACTTGCAAGACAAACGGAAACATATCGAGGGGCTTTAGCACCGCCTAGATGGAGCCTATACAGGCAGAGCCGTATATGTAGAGAGTTTCGTCAATGGGAGGTGCGGGCAGAGCCAGGGCGTGCGGCAGACTCAGAAAGAGGGCTTGGCATGCTCTTTTGACCAATCAGAAGCCGAAAAGAATCCCCTAGCGGTGGTAGCGAGAAACAGTTCTGATCAAAGGTCTATGTTCGTATATGGTTTTAAAAAGTGCGTAAGAGGGAAGTGTAGTAACTCTTTGTGGTTGAAAATAGGGTTCACGTGTTGTTTTGATCATGATCATGCAGAAAGATGTATAGAAACGAATGCGCCGCTCAACTCTGTTTTGCGCGGACAGAGTGTGACCGCTCGAACGGCAGATTCCCGGCCCTCGGCGTTTGGCGTACGGATTATGTTGATCGTTCCACTAGTCGCACTCTTCCACCATCATTTTGGATGAGCGTGATTGAAACATCACGTGTACCCTATTTTCAGCCATCGAGTATACTCCAATGCAGTTATCAGGTTTGTTTCTCGCGACCACCGCCAGGGTATTATTTCCGGCTTCTGGTTGGTCACATTAGAATTTCTGAAGACGCCCTGGAACACGCCCAGCCCGCTGTCGGCCAATGGCGCCTCCTCATTTGTCTCCTATACTTCCCAAAGAATGGCCAAACTCTCTACATATACGGCTCTGTATACAGGAACTCTAGCACCGCCTAAAGCCCCTCTATCCTGGGAAAAGTGGCGCCATTCATTGTTGTGGAAATGCTCGAGACACGTGACGCGCGCCGCTTCTGAGAAGAACATGGCGTCTGAAATCGAGTTCGGTGCCACTGTATCTGTGCTGTGCTGTGCCGCCATGATCTTCTCAAGGGCTGCACGTTGCACGTGCCTCGTGCACCGACGCATTTTGCGCTACTTTTAAAACATGAAGGGGCCTTAGCACCGCCGTCCGCGGCGTTTCAAAGCGAGGAGACGACATTGGCCTCCGTTTTGCGAGCGTCACATGACAGCACTGGCTCTGGCGATCGCGCGCGCCCGCCTCCCGTCAGATTTCCCGCTCTTTCGTCGTCTGCTTTTCGTTAGATTCTTCCGTTTCGGCTCTCACCTTTCGCATATATCAGCATCGAAACCGCACTGGCAGCCTACATGGTGGGTGTCCATGATGACCTGGTGATCAGCGTGAATGTGATTGTCCTAGCCTGCTCGTTGATCTTGCGACGTCGCCGCGCTCTGAAGGAAAGGAGGCGCAGGTTTTGGATCCGGCCGAGTTGGTGCTACCGAAACACCGAAGGACAGGTCAGTGCTTTTCTGCCCCGGGCTGCGCGCCAGAGATGAAGGCTACTTTCGAGAGTGTCACCAAATCAACACGACATCCGTCACAGCACCGGCGACATGCAGCAAGTGCCACGGAGAAACTCGCATGTAATTCCGAATTTCTCTCCTATAATTTCTCAGCGGTTGTTCTTAGCGCCCTTATCTAAATAGTCTGGCTGCGTCTTGTCATATAAAAAGGGAAACATTCGCACAGTTTCAAGGAACCGCTCCGTTGGGAAAGGCATTGGGGGAAATAGGGATAGCAGACGAAACGAAACAACGCTATGCCTCCCTCTTCCCCGTCGCTGAGGCCCTCAAGTTCTTCGCCGACGTACGCTCCTTTGCAATGTGAAAGACGCGCGGAGAACCGGCTTGGCTCGTTGCCATGGCATCGCAACGTCACTACCTACGCCACCTCCCATTGGCTCATTTCTTCTGCGGCGAGGAGCGGCGAGCTCTGAACCGCGCAAAGACCGGTTGGCTTGGCGCAGGCGTCCGGCGCGCCGGACGCCTGCGCCGGACTGGTTTTGGTCGGCAGCCCGCGGCGGCCAGCGTCGCGCGGCAAGCCTCCGCGGCGCTAATCTTTTCGGGCCATTATACTTCTTCGAGAATGAAAATGGTGCGCCCTCAGTGAATTAATCAAAACAAAATAGTTTTAGACAGATAAGGTGTGGTTTCTGCCGCCGCGAGACGCAACAAAGCGGCTGTTTGGTAATCATGAGCGATTAGGATGTAGCTTTTAGCCTTTTAACCAGGTACTCGAACCGAACCCTAACCGAAAACCGGAGCAAACTCTTTCTTAAGGCGAAAGCCTTACTTGTCCCATAACGTGAAAAGGCGTCGGCGTTGTGCCCCAAAAAGATGGGCATAAAAATACGTCATCAAGCACGCGCCGCTCAATGTCAAAGTGGACGCGCCTCAGAAACAAAAAACAAGGAAAAGCACAGCAACGCAGATGCTTCGTTACGGAAGCTGTCGTGAAGCTGGCGGGGTTCGCCGCGCCTGCGCAGTGGGAGAGCGTGATGTCACCGCCGGAGCGCCGTGTGAAAAGGGGAGACGTGACGCTCTCCATGTAGGAATGTGCTGCATGTAGGAATGCTTTCGCATTCCTACACGTAAGCAGTCTGAAGTACCTCTGCAGAACTTTTTTAAACTGAACTGGGAGAAAAATGTAACCGAAATTACGATTTTTTTTTTTTAAATTTTGATCCCGAACCGGAACGGAACCATAATTTTATGTGGTGGTTATCGGTTCATTGGAAACTGTTCGGCGTAATAAAATGTGAGCTAGGCCTTCTTGCCGAGGGCGGCGCGAAGTCAATTGAATATTTGCGACAAAAACATGACGGCTGTCGTCGCGTTTGTTCCGCGGAGGCGAAATCTGGAGGCGCCAAGAGGCGATACCGCCACAAGCGCGACACTGCGATGCTGGTCTCCGCGGGATGCCAGTCGCCCCAGAGACCGGTGCTGCTAGAAGAAAAACAAATTTTGTGTGTGGAGGTTTTCTAGAAACAGCAAGTCGCCTGTTGTCTTCTTTATGTCCTTTTTTGTTTTAATTGTCTTTCAATCGGCCTTCGCTGTCTTTCTTCTCTTCAACTCAGTCGTTCGAGTAAGTCGTTCGGGCGTGCGGTGTGAGTAGTTTGCCGTTTTGATCTGAATGAACATCGTATCAGCGTGCAGTTGTGCCAGTACTGCATGGTACCCGTTAAAGGGGCACTGACACCCCTAAGGTCGTATTCTTTTTTATTGTCTAAAACGATGCAAGTTGTAGTCATAAACACGCAAAAAAAAACCGCATCGCGAAAAAAAATTTTCCCGCGCGCGCGCGCGCCTTTTTATTTTTGGCGTTTAT